ATTTATTTAGCCTTGCGTTGATAAAATTTTTTGGTTATGGTAAAATTTAATTGAACATTGTAGGCAACCGAAAAAAAAATTACAAAGTCACATTTTTGGGTTATCATTTACATCATTTCATCGGAATTTTCTATCCACATTTTGGGGTATAATATGATAAAAAAAAGTTTGAGTGTTTGTGTAATCTAATTATGAGTTCAGTGTATTGTTACATTAAATGTGATGTTACGTATTTCCCATGGACTAATTTTCTATATTTGGGTTTATGCATGGTGATGGTGATTGACATGAAATATTCCAATTATGATACATTGATTATTTGTTTATAATTTATGACCGGATAACAGGTGATACGTTAGTAAAGTCATATGAATGAAGATATTTACAAAATGCCAAGTAGTAAGATACCATCATTTTCAAATTTTGGTGCACAAAACGCCCATATTATCAATATTAATTATTTCCATGATAATCTTAAAGTATTTGCTTCTACCGTTGTCAATGGAATATAATGAAATTCTATTTAGGAACTTGGTAGTCATTATTCTTTTTTAATTTTTTCTTTATTTATTTAATTTTTTTTTTTTTCATTCACAATTTCCATATTTTATTTTTTATTTTGATATTGTATTTTCAAAAAAAAAATCAATTAAGGAAATTTTGGTCTATTCTTAGAAGAAATAGATAGAAAAATATTAATGAGTCATGTGACCTCTTTTCGCTCTCTGTCTTGAATAAACGTTGCATTAAAAATCAATATTTCGCTTGCTATTGATTAAGATATATTTTAATTTATTATTACGATCGTTTTAAGTGATAAAACTTGTGGCCTTAGTTGTCATACTGTATAGTTATATTATTCAGGGGCAAACTACTCGAACTATTTAGATGAAATTCCGTCGTTGCATTGAAGATCGTTATCATGGAGCTTCTCCTGAAAATCACGAGAAACTGAAAATCATGAAAGTCAAAAGTAACAATAATAAAGAAATAATACACATGTGTGTACAAATAAATCGATATTTGCACTAACCTAATATCTTGTTTAAATAATTAAAAAGACTTTATTTTAATTAGAGAAGATGACTATTCATTCCTTTACCACTATTAAATAATATGTAAATAACATATAAACGCATAATAAATATATTGAAAGACTAATAAACCTAAAATCCGAAAGAAATTGAAGAACCGGATGCAAATATCCTAATATCGATCAGTATCTGTTCACAGTACAATGCCAATATTTATCTAATTGAAAAAGACGAAAAAACACAATTGTAATTGCTTATCTATTTTCGTTTATTTGTAATGCAGCTATTTATCGTGTTAATTCATTAGTATAAATATGATATTAATTAAATTTAAAGTTTTCTAAAATTGTAGTTCGATTTACTTGTATGCTCTATATTGTATGACACTTATCTGATAAAGAATCAGACAAAGCCTCACTCTATCAAAAAAATTATAATTCGATATTTTTATGTATTATATATTCGAACTTTATCAGATGGATACCATGTAAACATTGGCGCTGGTTATTATTCAAATTAACTGCAGGTTTAATATGTCATTCCATTTGATAAAATTATTTTAAACGTTCGGATGTTTTTAAATTGTTATAGCCAGGATAAGTAGTATGTGAAAAAAAGCTTTAATTGATAAATAATAATAATAATAATAATAATAATAATAATAATAATAATAATAATAATAATAATAATAGAAAATAGTATTGAATTTTTTCCTTATTGCTAGGTTTTGTGAAGATTAATAAAAAATTTTAATATCATGAAATTCATAAAATGTAAAAATAAGTTTAAAAAACTGATTTTTTATTATATAATTAAATAAATAATTTAATTTAATCGTATTTTATTTTCATAATTATAGAAATAAATATATATATACTTGTCAGACTTGAATGTAACTTTACACGCCTGATGTTTCACCGATAAAATCAGCCCTGATAACAGATCTTTTGCATGCAACATTTGGTAATTTTAGGAAATTGCAACTTCAAGCCTTCAATAACTGATAACTGATAAAGAAATAAAGTTAAAAATAATTAAGAATGCATTACAAATAGGTGTTTATTACTTAAAAAAGAATCGGAATGCCAAACTTAGAAATTAACATTAAAACTGATATGTAATAACGTCACATCAAGTATGCCCGTTTTTAGATTTTCATTACCCAAAAATATTGGTTGTACTGTAACTAAAAACTAATATACGTGAGAGAAAACTTTGTTGAATGAATTTACAATATTAACATCTTCAGTGATGACAATGATGATAAGTGCAATGTTACTTCTGTCGAAATTTCGTTATAGAATTTCAGAATTTACGTAAACACTGTCTATGCCGAAAAATAAGTATATAAAGACGCTCTTTTCCCTGAGTTTTGATTCCTTACTTTCGGATATTTCTGTAATATTTGATAGTAACCTATTAACGATGAACTTAAAAATAATGTTTAACCTTCTGATCGTTCTAATCATCTTAATTGTCTCCTCAGAGGCTTCTACTCACCTCGATAATTTCAAAAGAGATGATCAAAAATCTTGCCCGTATGTTTTCCTCACGGCCTCCCACATCAGAAGCATTAAGGGCCAGCTAACATTATTCCAAAACACAAAAGGGACTGTATATATTTCGGGCACATATCAATACGGTTTTTGGGATAGTAAAGAATGGCATTATGATTGGTCAATTCAAAACGGGTGCGGGGAACCGCTTTTTAACCTCACCAAGATTCTCCATTCGGAATATTTTGGTTGCAGTTGCTGTAATGGTTATAAGGATACAGGTTGTTGTAAAGATAAAAAGAAAAGATCACAAAAAAGGAGAGCTTTACTTAATGCGAGAACTTCTAGTGAAAATAAAACAATACCAAAAGGTGAATGTTCCGATTCAGATATGGGAGAAGATGGAACCACCCCATGGGTGATTAAGGTTGAAGATATGCCTTGGGATTGTAATAATGAAGGGCTTAAATATAAAACCTGTGATAAAGACATTTATAAAGATTCTAAATATAAACGTGGCGAAGACCACGACGATGGAATATACATACCTAGTACACTTCAAGATGAAGGCCCAGAAACTGGCCTGTATCTTGTGATTTACGGTGAATGTAAATCGTTAAAACGCCAACCAATAAGTGCTCCTGCTTCAGTTAATGTTAACGATCAGGGTGGTACAGTTGCTCCAGCAGCACCACCAGCACCAGCAGCAGCACCGGCAGCAGCTCCGGCAGCAGCTCCACCTGCAGCTCCACCGGCAGCTCCTGCTGCAGCTCCTGCGGCAGCTCCAGCGGCAGCTCCAGCACCTGCTGCACCTGCTGCTTCTGCAGCTCCGACGGCAGCAGCCCCAACTGCAACAGATACATCAACTCCAACAGATACATCAGCCCCTGCTACAACAGCAGCAGCTCCTCCTCCAGCAGCTGCCTCACCAACAGCATAAAGTAATGAGTTATCTTATCTCTATTCCCTTTTTTTGTGCAACGTTAACTAGGAATAATATATTTTCATTATAATCATAAATAAGTTCATATCAGCTATAATTTTCGAGTTACAATATTATACATATTGTGATCAATTCTTAGATTAATAATAGTCCTTTATCTAAACATATAAATTGGTGGTTAAATACTTTTAACACTCAATCAGGCCCAGTTAGTGTTAATGTTTACGCAAATGAGATCCGTATACTTGTACAATAAACAATAATGTAATAAATTATTATGTATCTATGATAATATTTTAAATTTTATTAAAAGATGTATAGTTAACACTTGTTCATTAACGCTATAAAAAAGCTATTTAAATAATCCAATCTATCTGATTTTATTAAATATTAATCGGAGCTTGTTAGAAATTTTATGTTCTTGTGAAATTCTTTTTTTTTAAAAAAAAAAATTCACTATATTTAGTAATTTAGCATTAGTTTGAAAATTTTGGTAAGAAAATTTTTATGGGATTTTTTAAAAAAAAAATCCACTAGTTTTGCTAATATTATTCTAAATATTACGTCACCTCATGTATAATCATTTCACTGTACTAGTAAAGGAGCTAGAAAAACATTAATTTGCACGTAAATTTCTTTGTTGCATTATCTTTACAAAGAATGATCTTGCATTGTTAATTGTAAATACCCATTATTTTGTTTTACGGAATTTTTAGGTATTCTTCCGGTGAAATCTAAAAAAGGTAATTGGTTGTAAAGGGCTATCGTTATTTGTTTATTACAGTATTACCGTTACCGTTACTTACAAGTTTCTTTTAATTTGTCTATTTATGTACATATTACGTATATCGCTCCATATCTGATTGAGTACTTAAATCATTGTCCGGAACATAGCGATAGCGAGGACCTAATTGAAAGTAATCCAAATTTTGTTGTCCCTATTTTTAGATTAAATTACCATAAATTCATATAATTTGGTTTCTATTTTTAGATAATACCGTTTATCATGGTTGGCAACGCAGGAACATGATTTCAAATCATCACAAGGGCACGAGGCGTAATGATAAATCATCACATGAAATAACTAGTACTGTAATTATTTCCAAGTGATGGTTTAGCATCACGCTCGTGCACTATGTGATGATTTTAGTGCCCTATTAGGGCCGATCACTAAGCTGGGTTTACTTTCGCATATGAATTTGCTTACGAATTCAATTATTAAATTAACAAACTGTTAAAAGTATGGGCTAGGTGCTGCAAAAAGGGGGTAAATCGACAAAATTTTCAAACAAGTTTTTTTTGCACAGATCAATTTAAAATAAGATTAGAATCATTTTTCACTTAAAAAACAAAACCAATTATGTTAATAAAATTTTGCGATATAGCTCTTTAAAAGTCCTCTCGATATAGTGAATTTACTAATAACCTCTCGATATAATGAAATTTTTAAAAATTTTTACTATGGACCGGACTACTTCACTATAACGAGTTTGACTTGTATATAGCTTTTAAAAATTCATCGCTCTAATATTACTAGAAAAGGAGAGAAAACTTCATATCAAAAAACTTTCAAACAAACAAATCTGTATATAATATTTTGTCATGTATATTTAGAGAATAGATTGATAGGCGTAAAATAGATAAATGTAAAATTTATTATTAATAAATTCGAAATTATTAAAATTTACACAATACAGCAATATATAAACCGAAAATTTAAATTTCCAGTTAACCAACCCAAAAGCCGACAAATCTAAATATTAAACCTAAATCTCCCGCCACTAAAGGGCTCGTACTTATTCAAACTAAACGGTTAATAAAAAGTTTATTTGAATCTAACGTCTTAAGCAAAAAACGTCCCAATTATTTTACTTTACATTGTAACTTTGCACAGTCCAATAGACGAACAGTATGTTTGTCTTCTAAGTAAAGTCCTAGTTTTGAGATTACATTCTAAACAACTATCTTAGAGTATGAATAATGCGCTAGCAAAAAAAAAAAATTGTAGCTAAACTATAAGAGTTAGCTGGGACACTTTAAGAACACATCACATGTGAAATCATGCAAGACGTCATTGTTTACTAGCATTATAAAATTGGCCTAAACTATCCCATCACCTAACCCTAACACTAACCCTAACTTCTGAACTTAGGCCGAACACTTAATCATGTGACGTGACGACCACTAAAATATCACTGGGTTCCTTGTTTTTGAAACTACCCTAAATTTATTAAAATAACTACAGTACACCTTCTCAAATCCGGTATACATGGTGTGTCAGTGCTGGGAGGTTATCAGATTTGCAATACTAATGGAAACTACCCCAGCATTGCCGTCAAAATTTCACTGTCACGTGATAATTAGCCAATAGCTAGTCTCGCTTTAATGTAACGTAACACAATCAGGAAGATCAAAACAAAATGTTCACTTTTTCAAAAATCACTTATATCTCAAAAATTTACATAAAAACTACCTTTCGTGTTTTAACAAAAAAATTTCCTTAAACAATTTTACTATAAAACCTTATAACCCTAACTTTGTTGTAGACTCTAACCTT